TCTTAATCACTATAAAAACAAACAATGTAACGAAGAAGCACAAAAAGGCATACATCAAATTTAACATCCTCATTTTGCTTTTTTATTACACGATTTTATTTATCTATGTAAAATCCACCCATAAAGGATGGAAGGTTTTAAATACTGGCGTGAAATCGCGCGTTTGAAATTCACACAGGTAGACATACAATAATTTTGTCGTTCAAAGTATGACGGGATACATAAGTACAGAGTCACGTCAAATGGATATCACAAAAAAACAGACTTAACAGTAAAAGTGATGTAAATAAATGAAATAATTCTGTCGTTCAAAGTATGACGAGATACATAAGTACAGAGTCACGTCAAATGGATATCACAAAAAACCGGACTTAACAGTAAAAGTAATGTAAATAAATGAAATAATGTTGTCGTTCAAAGTATGACGGGATACATAAGTACAGAGTCACATCAAATTGATATCACAAAAAAAAAAACAGACTTAACAGTAAAAGTAATGTAAATAAATGAAATAATTTTGTCGTTCAAAGTATGACGGGATACATAAGTACAGAGTCACGTCAAATGGATATATCAAAAAACAGACTTAACAGTAAAAGTAATATTAATAAGGACAAATAAAAGAATACTATAACACGTTATTAAGATGATAAACAACGTCAGTACGCAGAATCTATACTTCAAGACCATCGTGTATTATTTGTGAAGTTCATACGGAATATTTATCCACAAGGTCTTGGTATCTTCCGATGAACTTTTTTAGAAGTTCTTTGACATACCCCTGTTCATCAACTTTCTGCTCAGACACTGGTTAACAAGTTAATTCGAGATCAAAGGAGACTAATCTTCCTGATCAAAAAAACTTTTATTTATATATTTGTTTTCTTATGAAAAGAGCGTTTTTGGTAACAAGCAATGGCGTTGTATTTTTTTTTCTGACAAGCTTAATTTCCAATTAAATGATCATACAAGTACGGAGGCTAGGATTTATAATTCGGTTAGGCTTTGACTGACTGCGTGTCATACCCCCGCCTCATACTAATTATTTTTCACATAAATCATATAAATTGCAGATCCTTCAGTTTGTATGTAAATGTCATTATTCAAATTTCGTTTAAAAACTTACACAGCAGAGACGAATAGTAACGTATGGCTTAGTACAACATGCAGGCATTAACCTATCGTCGTCAGAGATATGACAACGAGACATTGAACGATTTTGGATTTACATCCACCAAACCAATAAAAACTTATGGCTAAGTGTACCATGCAGGCTTTTGGATATATTGAGGGACCAATTATAACACCTCATATAAAAACAAAAACGCTCTTTTCATAAGAAAACAAATATATAAATAAAAGTTTTTTTGATCAGGAAAATAAGTCTCCTTTGATCTCGAATTAACTTGTTAAAAAAATTTCCTCAAACAGAATAAATAAATCATTAATTATTTTAAATTTCTAATAAATGTCAAACCTTTAGTGAAATAAATGATAATTGGGATTCTATTTAAAAAATAATTCCCCCGAGAAATTATCTCCAGGTGATTGCTATTTGTATTTTATAAAATCGACAGATTTAAATACAAATTAAAGAATTCCGGTAAACTAAATTAAACACATGTGCAATGGTATCACTCTCTTAAATTGGGGAACATAACATTAAAAGTATTATTATTTTATTCTTTATATTTGACTCTTTATGTTAATTGCATAGAACGTAATCGAAAATTGTTCCTTTTTTATTTTTATACACTGCTGGAATTAAAAATTTGAATTTCTTTTTCAATGAATTCATACAATTACTTTTTTTTCATTGTCATCGGATATTTAATCTTGGTGTATTAAACTTGCCACTCTCTTTCTGTTAAACCATTGTCGTGACGTCAGTCTATTCATTTACCGTGGATTCTTTTTCTAGAATCAACGCTTCCTAAATCTGTCGCTGAAATGGACTTACCAAATTATATTCAATTGTTTCCTTTATGTGCCTAACTTCATTAAGTTTGAATTGGTTAATTTACTGATTTCTGTTTACTAATGGAATAAATTTAAAAACTTGCCTTTCATTTTTGTAATTTTTATATGCCTTCACTTGGAATCGAACCCGTCCTTGAAATCTGTTATGTGTGACTGACATCAGCATATCGACGAAACCTCTCGGCTACCAATGGGTTACAATTTAAATGTCTATTATATATATATATAAATGAACAAATACTATACATCGGTACAACGGACACACAGGGCTTGTACCTTTATATATACATGATAGGAAATCGTATAGTATAAGTTGGTGGCCGCGAGGTTAGCATGGTTAAGATCAATGAGTTAAAGATCGGAACTTGTCGGTTTAGGTTCGAATCCTGTATTCTCTTTGTCGTCCCTATTCTTTAGTTATCCTGGTTCTTTTTTTCTTGTTATGTATGTTATTGTCGGATATTTTTGTAACAATAGCGAGTTTTACCGTTTATATATGGACTATAATTGGCTGTTTCACATATTTGTAAAGAAAATGATTACATTCTATTTGTCCATTTTTGTTTTATGAATATGGTATGATTTCATTTGTTTTAGTATATAATTTTACAAATGTATGTTCGCAAATTCCTATGCGAGAAAATCGTGATGCACCTAGAATTAGGCTTCCTGTCAGAAATTTCGGTAACATACTTATTATATATACTTTATATATGCTCTTTGGTCGGGTTGTTTGTCTCTTTGACACATTCCCCATTCCCATTCTCAATTTTATTAGAAATAAGTTCGTATATGTCTTATTTTGTAAAAACATAATATTCAGATGCCTGATAATATGAAGATCTTTAAAGGTAGAAGTGTTGTGTTATATTTGTATTTTGTTAGCCAATTAATTGTGATCTGAGATTTAGCAATGCATCGTTGGACACGATAACATGGTTATTTAAACTCACTTACAATACCTTCTAATTAAGAAAAGGCTTTAATTTGAAAGGAAATTAAGACAATAGTTTAAGTTATAGATACAATGGATAAGCGTAGATTCATGAAAAACAAACCATTCGCCCTCCGGGCTCATGGTTTCTTTTTCAAGAATCCACGCTTATCCATTGTATCTATATAACTTAATCCATTCAAAATGACAACATTCACACCTGTAACAGTGTACGCTTGAGGCCAAATTTGCCCACATGTAAAGTTCAAACGAATTGTTTAACAAAAAGCTCATCTATTCGAGAAATAGACATTGCCTTTCCGAAATAACAGACACATTTTATTCACAAATACCTTGCGTTGAAAGGAATGTCAAAATTATTAAGGTGCATGAAAAAAAACGAAAAATATTTTCAGTTCAATATCGGTAAATAATTTGTGTTCAATAAATATTTCCGGACAAAGTAGCAACTGTTAATAAATAAAATTAAATCGAAAATATATACCGAAACCTAAGATTTTTTTATTCAATCAATGCAAAACGTTATACGTGTGTTCCTTTTCTTTCATCCTTATTTTGTGGTTATTAGCTACGAGAAACGGTCATCTGAGCGCTTTTAATTACGGAAAAATTGGACAAGCGATAAGACTTTAACTGATTTTAATTTCCTACCCAGCATTCAAAATCGGGCTAAAACGTCATAACCCGTATGTCAACCAAAAAAGTTACTTATATTTTATTTTCTCCGTTATTAGAGGGAATATGAATTTAAAACTTTGTGAATGTGTTTTTTATATTATTATAAACATATTTAGATGATATTTCAAAAATCGCTTTAAGGTAATATCGTGTATGTTCGAAACTTTTTCGTTTAGAGCTGAAAATTTGTATACTGACCGATCTTTTTTCCTGGCGTCTGTGTGAAATTGGATCAAAACATCGTTCAATGCTTGTGGTGTATCAAAATCAAAGTTTTCTCTCCTTGTGACTACAAAATGTAACAAAATTTGCGTTATCGCTGAACTACTTTAATCGTTTTTTTGTATAGTAAGTGTCTTTGTCACAAAAAAAGTGTTTGCATAACTTCCTCTGTCGAGTTCCCAAATCACTGGATTGCTACTTTAGAGGCCTTAAAGGTTTTCGCCGTTTAATGATAAAGTTATACTTCGTTCGGTGTAAATTTTTAAGAATGTTAGCATTTAAGTGAAAATTAAGTCGATTATTGCATGTCACGTGATAATGTATGTTTATCGTATATGTAAGGTATAATTATAATCAATTTAACTAAATAGTAAAACCAAAATCATGCATAACAAAGTAAATAAAGGCATATTATATTCAATATAAAATCTAAAATCAAATTTGTAAGGACGACATTAATTAAATCTATTATATTTTCAGGTAAATAAAAAGATAACAGATAATATAATTATCAGATAACATATCATGGAAGAAAACGACAAAAAATATTACAGCAATCCGCTGGCTTCAAATTCTGATGATTTCATGAGAAAACTGTCATCTGCAATTAAAGCTAATTCTAAACTAATAGTATGCGATTTGCTCTTAATAGTTGAAAACAAAGGCATTCATTTACATTGTATAAAGGAATATCGTGAAGGTGAAGATAAGAGCGAGACTTTACTTCATATGGCGGTAACATACGGGGTTGATATTGATATAATAACAAGGATAGTTAAATTATGTCCAGACTTACTGTTTATGTCAAAGGAAACATCCGTGAACTACAATGGACAGACACCACTTCATATTGCGATAACCAAAGGCGATCATAAAGTAACAAAACGGTTACTTTCATTGTCAAAATCAAAATCAATTATTAACCGGATTTCAGAGAAAGATGCAAACTGGACCAAATTGACAATGATCAATACACTTGCAACTGGTAGAATTTTTGCTAATACGGTAATGATGGGCGAACTACCATTAAGTGTGGCGGCATTGAAATTTAAACAGCCCATCGTTGATCTCTTATTACAGCATGGTGCTAAAATGCATGCACAAAACAATTGTGGTGACACTGTTTTCCATTCTTTGGTCAAATACTCTGCTGTGTATCCAAAAGAAACCGACAATGTAATAACCATGTTTACATATCTCATCAATAAGCTTAAGATACGGGCAAAAAATCCAAGTCATGGTCGGTACAAAGGCATGGCTACCGACATATTCTTAAAAGAAGATTCATATGTCTGGTTTTTGGAAAACGACGACTGTCTGACACCATTACAATTATCGGCTAAATTAGGAGTTGTTGAAATTTTTCAATTTATAATTAATCTCGAAAACGTCTACTCATTTGTAAGTACACATGATGGACTGTTTGACGTAAAATTGTACGACATCACCGAAATTGACACAGTTGCTAATCAACATGTTGTCTCAAATAAATCGGCAAACGGAGGCTACGGACATAAAAAGGTTTCAAGAAATATTGACGGTGTTAGTGATATCAAACCAAAAACTAATCCCAACTGTTTTAACCAGTTTGAATATCCAGAAACAGAATCAATATTAGAAATGATGTTTGATTTTGAATACCAGAGTCAATCTGCTTTTAGAATAATTGAAACCATACCAGTAAAGAATATCATTCTTGAGAAATGGCATAAATTGAGGTATTTTTATTTCATATGGGGCTTTCTCCATTTGTTAATGACCGTGTTTTTAACTATGGAAATCTTCATTAGGTCAGAGTTATATGCCCTCCAAACTGTTTCAAACACAACCACACTCGAAATTCATGTTCCGGTCGCATCTAGAAAATTTGCTGATTTTGTATCCTGGATGAGTGTCGTTCTTGGTGGTGGGGTCTATTGCTTAATGATCTCACTGTTACTGATTGCGAAAGCAAGACGACCAAATGCGCTTCGGTATATTTTCCACAACTTAGGATATGTATTATTTTTAATTGTGTTCTCCGCTTGTTTATTTATTGACTTTTTCATGACAATGACCAGTGACACACATGACAATATTGCTTTAATACTAGCCGTAATTGCTGGTTGGTGGTTTTCCGTATTTTTCTTGCGAGCTATTCGGCTTTTTAGTTTTTTCACAGAAATGATCCGAAGAGTCATTATAGGAGATCTATTGCGATTTGCAGTAATTATTTCGTTTATGTTGTTTGCGTTTACATCAGGCATGCATGCCGTTTTTGTTGGTAAGGTGAGTTTGGATCAGCAAACTGTAGCATACCAGAATGCTGTGAATGAGCACTTTAGTAGTTTTGGAGGTGCCATGTTCACGATGTTTAAACTAATGTTAGGTTTGGATGATTTTGGGGTTTTGAATGAAGCCAGAATACCGGGTTTAGCGATAGCTCTCTACATTGTGTTTGCACTGCTTACTTACGTTCTATTAATAAATTCACTTATAGCTATGATGTCACAGACATGTGCAGTGGTTTTGGAAGATAGATACCCACAATGGAGACTGCAACAACTTTCAGTTGGCTTGTTCCTTGAAGATATCTTTTTTTTATCTTGTATTCGATATTTTTTTGCATCTCCAGGAATGGAGAAAAAAATTCGCCGATTTGACCCAGTTACAAAGCAAACTAAAGTTTACAGTCGATACTTTTCGAAAATACATTCGTTGCAAGCAACCTATGCTTCAGAGGAAGATCGAGAAGCAATGAAAAAAACAATGAAAGAAAAAGATCAATTTAGAAGAAAAGGATCTTTAAATTCAGACCAGGCTATTGAATATGAAAATGCATCGACCGTCCCTAGACGAACAAAACTTACAGTATTACCAGATGTAGAAACGCCATCAAAATACGATGAAATAGATGTTCATGATCATACTAACAACTGTACTGAAAGAAACTTACCTTTTTACCCGAATGGATATCATCACGTCGATATTGAGCCTTATGGTACATCAAGTACATAAAGTAAGCGTTAAAGATGAATAGCGGAACTTTAAAAATTGTTATGATTAAATCGCTCTCCATTTAACCTTATTTTTAGATTTTCCAACAAACATGACAGGCAAAGTTGTTAGTACTATCATTGATTTTGCTTTTGATCAATTAAATCATAACTAATGGAGGTTTGGCTAGCCACAAAACCAGGTTCAACCCACCATTTTTTTTCTTAAAATGTCCTGTACCAAGTCAGGAATATGGCAGTTTTTATTTAATAGTTCGTTTCTATGAATGTTGCATTGTTGTTTGTTTTTTTGTTGCACTTCTGTACGTGTTCTGTTATTTCGTTGTTTTCCTCATATAGTTGATGTGTTTCCCCTCGGTTTTAGTTTGTAACCCGCATTTGTTTTCTCTCAATCGATTTATGACTTTTGAAGAGCGGTATACTACTGTTGCCTTTATTTATATTCTATGAATTTGTGAAAAGTTTGTTCCTATACCCTATCAATATTATGTAATTATATCTTGGCATTGCACACGGTCATGCTTTTCTCATACTGTTTATGACGTCTTTACACTTAATCCGTTGAATATGTACTGATTGATGATTTAGTCTGGGAGCACATACTTAATATATTTGTTGTAATTGGCCTTTAACTAGCTTTTGGTACTTGTGAGTAGTCTGATATCGGTACTTTGTGTCTTGGGCACCTAAGATCACCCACGGTTTTGGTGGGCTTCGTTTTTCTCAGTCTTTAATTTATCATGTTGTTTTTTGTGTACTGTTGTTTGTCTTTTCGTAGTTTTTTTTGGTTTTTTTTTTTCCTTGGTATATTGCCAGTCTGTTTTCGACTTGTGGGTTTGAATATCCCTTTGTTATCTTTCGCCTCTCTTTTTCTGTCTTAATGTTAGTTATTTTTTGTTCTTCAAGCTGATCTGATGAATCAAGCCATTTCTAAATGATTTTTACAGTTTGTTTTACGCCACATCATAGTCCCAGGTTAGGGGAGGGTTGAACGCTCACAAACATGTTTAACCCCGCCACATTCTGTATGTCCCTATCCTATAATAGGAACCTGTAATTTAGTGGTTTTCGTTAGTTTCTGTTTATACGATTTCGTTTGTCGTCCTATCATAAATTAGGCCGTGATTTTATAGAATTGTTTCACATTTTGTCATGTCGGGTCCTTTTATAGCTGGCTATACGGTTTGGGTTTTGCTCATTATTAAAGGTCATACGGTGATGTATAATTGCTTAAATACACGTCATTTGGAGTGTGTTAGACATTTGTCTCATTGAAAATCAAACTATATTTCCTTATTTAATTATAAGGAGAACATTCTTACTTTAAAAAAATCAGATCTGTAATTAAAATTTATCTGTTATCGATGTTATTCGAAGCAACTTTAGGTTGTCCTGTTTCGGTAAAACATTGACAATCTTCCGTTTTCTTTTATCATTATTTATAATTTATTTAGACTTCTTTGTTCATGTATTAATTTTAGAAACCATGCGTCGTGGGTATCATTTTCTTCTGATAATCAACATTTTAATTACAATTTGTACACAGTACATATATATGTAATGATATGTTTTACAATTTCGGAATGTATTGACAAAATTTAAGAAGTTTAACATACTAGACTATATAAGGCAAGTAGCACGGCTAATGGGTTATAGGCCGATATAATTCAGTTCGTTTTGCCTGATTTATTTATTAAACTAGTCCAGCTATTTCCACTTGAATATTTGCATTTCGTCATCCAATTGAAAATACAATGGATTAGATACGTCGAAAGAACGTAATTTTATGTAATAAAAACAATGATCTACTGTAACGTATTTTTTAATGTTGTATTTCTATGGTCAAATCAATTTTAAAAGATATCTGAGGTTTTCTTTGATTGTAGTTTTGTTATGCTTATCATTTGTAATGCTTATTTTCAAATGATTAAGGTTATGCTACATTTATTCATACCTCTCTGTATTTAAGGTTTTCCTAGCAGATAAAATAAATTTAATGCCAGTACGAGTGATACAGTCGTGTTGTTTAGATTTTTCTTTCTTGTACTTTTATTATTTTGATTTTATTCTGTTGATATTTTAAAACGCTTTTAATCTATTTGTGTCTGATTAACAATGTAAACAGTTGATATGGATAGTTGATGAAATAAAAAGTTGATTCGATTCATTTCTTTCCTTTGTTCCTTGGAATAAGTGCAGTCTGTCTGTTCACCAAGTTGAAAGATAAAACAATAAGAGAATTTTTAATTGCTGTGTGTACTATGAACTTTATTTGTAAAAGCAAAGTTATTTTTGTGGATAATATAGGTACTTGATGAATTGATTATTAGACAATACTAGTCAAGCTACCAATATAACAAGCATTTTCAGTAAAGAAATAAAACGGCATTATTTGAGATCAGGTTGGTTAAGTATTTTGATATTGCTTTAAGTTTCCGTATAGTGGCGACAAAGTGTGTTTCAATTCATAAAGGTAAAAATCAAAAGTTCTGAGACTAGTCGATTTTAAATTGTTATTAGAGAAAAAAAACAGTCGATTAAAAACTGAACATCAAGGCATGTATATATAAATAAGGAGATGTGGTAGGATTGCCATTAGACAACTATCCACCAGAGTTCAAATGACGAAGATAAGACTTAGTGTTTTTTTCTGGTAAAAAGATGCACAAAATTCGGAACAATTTTCGTTTATATGTTCTACGTACAATGTATGCTTTTTGGGAAGTCAAACAAATTTCATTCAGAAAATCTCTATTTTTACAGAATTTCATGGTGATAACTTCAGAATTATTGTGACGAGCTTAAATTACTTTTAAAAAATGAATATGCTACAGAAAGCTTTACTTCGGATATATCGATGGAGGTGGTTCATTTCTCTTTGTTGTTCATAGATATAAGAAGATGTGGTATGAGTACCAATGAGACAACTCTCCATCCAAGTCAAAATTTATAAAAGTAAACCATTACAGTATATTTATGTTTTTTAAACAATGTAAACATTTGATATGGAAAGTTTTATGAATAGAACTAGAAGTGTATTTTTATTGTAAAACCCATCCTCTATTGTGAGAATGAATCATTATTTTTTTATTATTCATAAATCATTTTATCTTAATAATTTTGGTGATGACAGATCTAAAAATTGGATAATTTCTGTTAGATCTACAGGTTGACATATCTATAAATCACTATAAATTGTTGAGGATGCTTCCGTCTGGATATATGTTTAATTATTTTTGTCGTTAGGTTGTTTTTTCATTTATGTTCACAAATGACAAATATATGTACACATTTTATCGTTAATAGTCTATTTGCCAATAAGTAAGGACTCTTCAGATCCAACGATAAAATATTAAAAAAAACATGACCATTCGAATTTGGTGTCACGCGGCTGAAAACGAATATGATACATAAATTGTTGACAACGATGAATAATTGCATTGCTAATTTGTCTTCAACGATAAAGGTTTCTAACTATTTACATTGATAAGTTTCCCAAAATATCAATTGTGAGCAAACAAATGAAACGTTTTACTTACCTCGTTCTACGAATGAGCATCAAAGATATTATTAGTGAGGGGAGTTGAAGACAAAACATAAAAATCTATGACTTAGTACAGAAAGGCGTGAACCAATCTTTTAATCCTCGTTTGTGCCTACAAATATCAAGCCAAAATCGTTTGAGTTGATTGAACTGTTTGGTTGTTTTACTTACATCTAAAACTTTATTGTTTTGTATGATACCGTTCTGTCATATTCGTAGGATGTCCTTACCCTTTAGAAAAATAGCGCCTTGATTTATTTAGAAGAATTTGTTTTTACTCTTTGATTGTAATTTGCTCTGTATAAGGTTTGGTTTTTATTTTTAGAAATGTATACTCTCAGTATTTGTCAGAGAACCATCATTAACTTGTATTTTTGAAAATTCATTCACGCAGTAAAAGGCTGTATAATTTTTCAATAATTTTGAATTTGTAAAATTAATTGTGTGTCAAATTGATACATTGTTCATATTTTTAGTTGAAGATAAAATTACGTTCCAAGTATATTTGTTGTTTTTTTATTTAATTTACTAGACTTCAGAAGTTGATATATGATTTTCCTTAATAGCATATTTATTCAGAATGACGCACTCGACTCTTTTCAGATTCTTATACAATCTATAAACATATGAAACCATATGACTGCGCTCGTCATGTGTTTTCTAAAGTAAGTATCATCAGGTATGCTTTAGACCAAAGTTGAGTGTCCAAATGCATTAAACGTTTAAGAGCAACCACATCATAAAACAGGTTTAATTGAACAGCCAATATAATCTAGGGTCGAATTTACCTAAGAAGAGATCAACTTGTTTTAGAACTACTTTGTACATAAACTAAAAGGACAAGAGGCGATAAGGATCGTTTTTGGCACCACCCCCAAATTCCATTTAATTTGTTAGTTGTAACTCTATATCACACACCTTCTAAATTGGTGGCATTTTGGGTATATTTCGTATATGCTGTTGCGCAGCAACCAATATAATGATGGTAATAAAACCAAAACGTTTTTTTTTTTAAATCGGGATAGTACCGAAGCTCGTGATTTTATCACGGGTTGACCCTTTATGCTAAATATTTTACCACGCGCGACAGCGAGGGGTAAAATATCAGCATAAAGGGCCAACCCGTGGTAAAATCAATATAAATTCAAGCCCCCATGAATTATTTCTATTCTAATAGGACAAAGCAATTCTTTTAGGTCGAAGCGCTCCATGTAAAAGGAAATGTTTGCTGTTCCCGTAATTAAATATACTATTAACATTGACGTAATCGACGAAGAAAAATGAATAAGTGACATTCTTAAACGATATACAATAACATACTACTTTCTGTTAAGACATATTTGGATGAATTTAATTGATTATCAAACTTTCATTTAAGAAGATATTGACATTATACAAATTCTTACCATCGTTTGTTTATGTTTACATATGTTGACGACTTTCGGTTTTCCATTCGTGCATTTTCCCGTAAAATCATTACATATTACGTTATAGTTCAATGACGTCATTTACACTATCTGACGTGAGGTAAATCATTCATAAAAAGCATATGACGTGGGAGAAGATTTAGAACAGCCCAAACAAATCATGACGATGCCTATCAGCTGACATATGAATATATTCGAATTTTACCACGGGTGTGTACTCAAAGCGTTTAAAAAACATCATATTAGAATGATATATAAGAACGTACAATGTGCTTTAATCAACATCTGATACACATTCGACCTGTTACTAACAATCTTGACCATCTACATGTAACGTCATATGGTTCAAATATTCTTACTAGTCATAGAGCAGTAAAAATAGCAAGAAGTTGCCAAGAGAACAATAAAAAACAAACACAAAGTTGAATAAAGACCGACAACATTATTGCCAAATGAAATCAAAAACGAAAAATTACACAACAGTCCAAAGAACACAACACAAAAAACTCAAAGTCGAACAACACAAACCCCACAAAATCAAGAGATGAAATCAGTACTGCTGCTCCTGTCCGTAAGGGTCAGCAGTACCTGCTCATCAACTGTGACACCCTTCATGTTGATGATGTTAACACCAGAAAAGTTACAGTTGGTGATAAAGCTTCATGCGACAACATATTTGTAAATATACCTTGTCTAACCCCAAGACAATTGTACATTCATTAACCATCAGTAAATGTGAATTATCTAACTCTTAAACAAGACCGAAGGTAAAAGTTTGAAATGAGAAATGTTTTCAGTAAGGATATGAATGAACAAAATAAGCTTTTGGGTAAACTTGAAGGAGACGTATTTATGTTGAAATACGGTGTTCATCATTATACAGACCAGCTATATAGCTATGGCGGTTTCAAATGATTGAGGTACATTCACATCTTATAGCACTGAAGATCACATCAGTTTGTTGTTCAATGTTAACTTTTCGCGTATATTTTTTATGATTTTCATCACGTTTTTCTTTTGGAGATATTGCTTGCTTTATTTTGCTATTTTAGGTCACCT